TGTCTCATACAATTTGTAACTAAACACAGGCCCTTTCTTTTTTGGCTGGAATGAAACACGTGTTAATTAGGTTGATTAGGACTTAAGTGCTTCATTCAGTTAATTTTAAATCAACTTTGAAATATACCTTGTTTATATTATAGGTAGCAAAAAGACCTAAAACCATCTTTTTGTGGTGGCCAAAACTTTTCTGTAAATAAAGTCGTCCCAGCCCACCTATCAATTTCATCACCCCATTAGAAAAATAAAAAGTGAAGAATGTAGATCGCTAGATCTTGTGTTTGATTTTCTCTTTGCCTATTTGGTACGTAAATGGACGGAAGGATTTTCATCAATCGGTGAGTGCAATTCACCACCTATTGCAAAATTTTGGAAGGAACATATTCTCTCTTTCTGGTCGCCGCCAATGGCAATTTGGCACAGCAATCCTACGTGGGCCTTGTTTCTACGCACTGTGTTGCATGGCCATTATTGCCATGCATGCCCGACAAAAAGCTAACCCTAGTAGTGGGTCCCTACCTGTGGCCAATCAACTCACCCTAAAGTGCTTTCTTGTAGGACCGACCCGCTTGGCCATTGGGTCCCTCGTCCAACGTCAACAAGATTTCCATTAGCTTTTTGCTCCAATATCTGATGTGAACAATGCTTCATGATTCTAGATTACGTCTACAGTTGCCTTTAATCAAGCTAGTTACGGAGTACAAATGTTACTTTAGGAAATTAAACATGGAGAAGTGTCTCGTTTAACCGAAATACCGTTATGTGTACTGGAGCATAGAGTTTCAATTTTGAGGGTCTCAATGTTGAATATTCAAAATTTTTAGACGAAAAAAGAACAAAGTGTGATTTCAATTTGTTTAGTGCATCGAACATGTGGTGAGCTTGTTGTAGTCATACAAGCCATTATGCGCACATTTCATCATATATTGACATTTATTGAAGCAATTTGTTGAGTGCTCTTGAGAGTATCTGTCGAGTTATATCGATGCAACATATTGAGTGTTGTTGAAATATTCCTAGCGTGCGTTACACCAAATGCTTGGTGGGCATGCAAAAGTCTTGTGTCAAACATTTGGAAAGTCTTTGGAGGTTTTCATACACTAGAAGAAAAAAGCTCATCTACCATGGTTGATGCCCGTGGTAGATTGCAATCCACCACGGACAATGTGCCCGTTAGTAATCTGGATGTGATAAAAAGTCACAGTTTCAACCACGAGCTATGGCCGTTGTCTAATATGATGCAACCACGGATTGTGCCCATGATAGATTAGAATCTAACACCACATGCACTATAGCCGTTGTGGATTCCAAATTGACCACAAACAATGCCCGTTATAAAACAATTCCCAAAAATTAAAAAAAATTATTCAATAAAAATTATATATATAATATTTATATACAAATTGCATATTTACTACAATATAATGATTACATAAAAAACCACATATTCAAAATACAAATATTATAAGTTGTACACTAAAACTAACAACAAAACCAATGAGTTATACTAAGTGCCAAATAGGCCTCTAGTTCTCAAAAAATAACAAAGACATTGTTAATTGAAGACTACACATTTCTTGGAACACCTCCGAACAAAAGACTTGAGAGTGAAATACTACCTTTAATGCTTGAGCTTCAGAAATTGGTGCCTCTCTCTATCCATCCATATAGACATAAGCATATGGATGAAAATAGTGAATAGATAAACAAAACTTGAAGCTAAATTAACAAGTAAAAATTTAAATAGACAAATCTCTAATGGTCCACACATGATGCCAAAAAATTAATCAATAAAAACTTGAACATTTATACAGAACTAACCTCAACAAGATTATGTAGTGCAAAACTAGCATTGCATTACAGAGAATGGATCAAATGTAGCCAAGAACTTAAATTACAATCATCAAATTTTTAAGATATTCTTCCTATCCGCTCCACCTCTAAAACTAGCATTTCTTCATTGCTCCGTTCCATCTCCCAATTGACCGAAGTCACTAGCTCATGATCAATTGCTTACACATTCAAGTTATCTAATGCACATAGACTAAACACAATATATAATTACTTGATTAAATTAAAAAAAATGGAAGAATTGAAATTTATAAACATTAAAACAATAAAATAAAAACGATGAAGCTTAATTACCCCAAGTGAAAAGCAATCCATTTGATGCAGCAGAGGAGGTGTGCTCGCGGTCGCAAGCAATGTCCAGCCACCGCCAATTAGCCCTTGTTGTGCACCCAAAAAGCTCCAGAGAACTGCTTCGGGATCCTCAACCATGGCTCCTTCCCATTCCGACCGGTCTGCTCGAACTTGCAATATCCCCACACGTAAATCGCCCTCTTCATCGGAATGCTCACCGGCCGGTTGCAACCCAGAAGCTCATCAATGTCAATTTCCATAAATTCCCTTCACATACTGAACCACAAAGTTGCAAGTCAACAAATTTGACAAAAAATTAACAAATCTTAATCCAATTGAAGGAGAAAGTTGGGAGCTTCACAAAATGGGTTCTCTGTTTGGTTACCTGGGAAATGGAATAGTGGTGAATTGGGATTTTGTCGGCAGCCAAACAGAGGGGAGAGAGAGAGAGAGAGAGAGAGAGTGGCGGAGATACCTGAGGACTCAAAGTAGACGAGGAAGAAGACTGAAAAATGGTTGTCGTTGGTGAAATGTTAAGAGAGAGAGAGAGATCTTCTGAGGACTCAAAGTGGACGAGGAAGAAAACTGAAAAATGGTTTTCGTTGGTGAATGTTAAGAGAGAGAGAGAGAGAGGAGATTGACAAAGGTCGGTTTAATTTCTCACGATTTGAGGAGGGGGAGTTTTGCAGTTACTAGCTGATGGGATGAGATAAATCAATAAATGAAATTTGAACCTCCTTTATATTTTGAAAAGCGTGCGGGAGTGTTGTTAAATTTTCAAATTTCAAAGATGTTTGAAATTTTGCAAAATTCTTGTCCCACCTCCTCTAGATTTTTTAGTTAAGTGTGTGTGATTCCATCACATATTATGTCCGTGATAGATAACAAAAAGACGATGTGGATGTTAATAATATTAACCACAAGCATTGTCCGTGATGGTTTTAGTATATTTATAACGTTCAATTTTGCGCGTGGTCATTTACTGTTATTTTACAACGAGCTAAGATTTGTCCATGATAAAAAATTGTTATTACTACGTGCTTATTATGCCCGTGGTAAATTTGTACTTTTTATAACGAGCTCATAAAGTCCGTGGTAAAATTGTCGTGGTAGATGAACTATTATGTTGTAGTGATAGGTTGTTTTACAACATCCAGGTGGTCTCGAAACCACCTTAATCCCTACATGGACCCGCCTTTATTATGTGATATTATTATTCTACTTAAATTATAAGACATGTATTATCACTTTAGAAATGAGACATACCAATTACATCGTCCACAGTTCACTCATATTTATAACAAATATAATGATACATCACGTGGTAGGTTTTCGATATACTCCTTCAACTTATTAAAACAACGAGTACATGCTATGTTTACCAAATATTTGTATCATCTCTCTAATAAAGGTAAGGACCATCAACATAATACAAATATATGGTAAAAGTAACATTTTTTTAATAGTAATTAGCTTTTGCTAAGTGCTTTGCATGGTCAAGGAAGATACGTTTAATAGCTTCCATTATTGAGGCTGTTAGTAACATTTTTTAATAGTAATTAGCTTTTGCTAAGTGCTTTGCATGGTCTAGGAAGATACGTTTAGTAGCTTCCATTATTGAGGCTGTCAGCCCTTAAAGGTTTAATCATGGCTTCTTTCTCTAAGCTTTTTCAAAGTGAGATAAATAAAGGTGGGTGGTGGTGTTTTTACGAGCTTTTATGGGTCCTCGAAAGTGTTTTGGGGGGACAATACTTTGGAGCTTTCAGGCCAACAGTTTGACTTTAAGTCCCTCTAATTCCTATATGATATGACTAATACAAGATAGTAAAAGTCTAATTAGTAACTGAGTAGAAATAATCAAATAATCAAATAATCAATGGAGGCATTATAGGCGACTTGAGGGGATTGTATCTACAATAGGTTAACTTTTAACTTTTAACCCAAGATGCTTTTGAAAAAGATGTTTATTAATTACTTTATTGAAAGGTAAAACGGACTAGACTTGACACTCTTTGAATTTAGACTAGAATTGGTATTAAAACTGTATTTGGAACACGCATGAATGAATCTTTGCCAGAAACATGATGAAATAAACTATATTGTGCCACAAGCTTCGCAAGTATCATAGTAGTCTGAGGAGCTATCGCTTAGTTTTTGGATTATGTGTTAGGTTTAAAATTCATCATACTTGAAAGACGTTTGAGGATATAAAGATTACCACATCGAAAATTTGAGAAAACTTACTAGAGTTTATAGGAGTTGAGCTACTTACTTCTCCTACATATTGCAAATTGTTTTTAAAATGGAATCTTAACTTAAAGTAAGTTGACTTTTAACATAGATAATGTGAATGCATTGCAAGCTAAAAATAGACACATGACATGAAATAAAAGACGAGAACAAAACTAATATAAGTGAAATTCATTATATAGACAAATCATTAATATCACACGTCCATTCTTTTTGTGTAGTGCATTATTCATTTAAAAAACGATACCTTAGTTGCTCAAGAGTTATATCGTTATTAATTTCATCAGTTAAACAGAATATGAAATCAAACATTCTATGTCACTTAAAGTATAAACTCCATGAAACTATAAATACATATTAACTACATTGTTTATCATAAGCAAGATCCACAATACAACAATAACAACAACAACAAAGCTTTATTTCACTAATTGTGGAGAGTCCAGAAGTGAGCTAATTACAAAAAGCATAATTAGGCTGTGAATCAAACAAAGACACGTACAGAAAACTAAAACAAGCAATCGTGTGCAAAGACTTGAGCAAGAAGCTTCAAAGAGATTAAAAGCCTCCCTCTGACCACTCGTCATCTCTGTCTGTCATGTATGACATTTCCACACAACTTTACCTTATATTATGCCATTGCGCGCCATTGCCATCCCACCACCACCACCATGCACACACGCAAAGATAAAAAGCCTTCAATTATCACCACCAAGAGCCCCCCTTACCCTTCGATCCCTTCCCATTTCCTCTTCCTCTCAACCAAAATCACAGCTTTCTAAATAAGCCAGTCACAAAAAAAAAAAAAACGCTTTCTAAATAAGCCATGAGAGTGCCCGTTTCTTCTCCACACAGCAACAACAAGAACCAATCTCCCAAGCACAACCCCCAGACTAATAACCCAAGTGTCAACTTTCACCTCGGTATTTCGAGCTTGGGGGGCTACGAGCCCACCTCGGTTCTCGACCTCCGTCACAGCCCCAGCCCCGTCTCCGCCGAAAAACCCTCGAAAATTTCGGCCATCCCCGACGTGCTGTCCCACTCGAACCATGATCCTCTCGAGTGGGAGGAGGAGCAAGTCCTGCACAACTTGGACTGGGACTCAATTATGAGGGACTTAGGGTTGCACGACGAAAACGTCCCAAATCTCAAGACTTCAATCCCACAATTGAATGCAAACGATCCTCAGATTTCGGAGTACCCCCATCCTCAGCCGTTCGATGCCACCCAGCTCGTCCACTCCGATTGGGACATCAATCTCTCCGAAGTGTACTCCTCCCAGAATTGTTACGACCATGTGACGAACGACTTCCATCAATCGGGCAACTGGAACGTAGGGCTTGATTTCATCGAGGAGTTAATCCGCGCCGCGGACTGTTTCGACACGGACGAGTTGCAACTTGCCCAGGTGATCCTAGACCGTTTGAACAACAGGCTGCGATCCTCCTCCCCGTCGAAACCCGTTGGGAAGCCGCTCCAGCGCGTCGCAGTTTATTTCAAGGAAGCTCTTCAGTCCCTCCTCAACGGCTCAGACACCGCGGCGCGCGAGTTCACTTCCTGGTCCGACATCGTCCAGACGATCCGCGCCTACAAGGGCTTTTCGGGAATTTCGCCCGTCCCGATGTTCTCTCACTTCACGACAAACCAGGCCCTACTGGAGGCTCTCAACGGCTCCACCTTCATCCACGTCATCGACTTCGACATCGGCCTGGGCGGCCAGTACGCTTCCCTAATGAAAGAGCTCGCTGAGAAAGCTGACGTGGCAAGCCGAAATAACGGCAACCCGGTCCCACCGGTGCTTCGCATAACTGCCGTCGTGCCCGACGAGTACGCCGTCGAGACCCGACTGGTTCGGGAGAACCTGTCCCAGTTCGCTCAGGAACTCAAGATTAGGTTCCAGGTCGAGTTCGTCCCCCTTCGTGCGTTCGAGATGATGTCGTTCAAGGCCGTCAAGTTCATGGACGGAGAGAAGACGGCGGTTCTTCTGTCTCCATACATCCTCCGCCGTCTCAGCTCCCAGAACAACATCTCCGGTTTTCTCGGTAACATGCGCCGCGTATCGCCAAGCGTCGTGGTGTTCATCGACGGGGAAGGGATGGGGGATGCCGGAACAACTTCGTTCCGGAGGAACTTCGTCTCTGGCCTCGAGTTCTTCTCAATCATGCTGGAGTCGCTGGACGCGGCCGTGGCGGCTTCCAGCGACGTGGTGAAGAAGATTGAGACGTATTTGCTGCGGCCGAAGATTCAGGCGGCAGTGGAGGAGGCAGGGAGGCGGATTCCGCCGTGGAGGGAAGTATTTCAGGGGGCGGGGATGAGGGCGGTGGAGCTGAGCCAGTTTGCGGACTTTCAGGCCCAGTGCTTGTTGGGGAAGGTCCAGGTCAGGGGATTCCACGTGGCGAAACGGCAGGCCGAGTTGGTGCTTTGCTGGCACGATAGGGCCTTGGTTGCCACGTCCGCATGGAGGTGTAATTAGCGGAGCTAATTAACATCAGCAGCTAGCTAGAAAACTAGCTAATATCTATTAAGTAGCCTATTCTCCTACCTATTGGGGTTTGGGGTGTAATTATGTGTTAAGTGTTAAGGTAATGATCCCGGCCGACCAATTTGTTTTGTTGGGTTTGGGAGTAGTTTTGCTGTTTTGGTGTATGTTTGGTTCTCGTTGGTTTTTCGTTTTTGTAACGATATGCATGCTATTTTTAGTAAAAAAAATTGCTCTGCGCATGCTATTCCTTGTTCTGTGGGGATTGGTTTACCGGTATACTGTACATGCCAGGCAATTGAAAGGAAAGTTCGTACTGCACAAGAAAAGTGGCTTTTATATTGGGCAGGTTGGAATTTATCAGTTCTTAGTGTTCCTTTTGTACTTCGTATTTGGATGAATTGTCTTAAGATTCTTAACCGTATGCTATCAAGACTTATGCTTCTTTTGAACCCTATCGTGCAAGTAATCTAATTCTTGCCATCTTTCACTTCAAATGATTGCAGCTTATGGATCTTTCAGCCTTGTTGAAATATTTTCAGACAAGCTTATTTCATGGTAAGATCTGGATCCTTTTCCTCAGAATTATCACATTTGTTAAATAGTTAGGTTCTCTTATGTATCACATTTGCTACCTTTTTACATATGCATCTTCATCTTTGCATATTTGCTGAGAATCCCATATTGCTTTGGTGTTGTTTCAGGATTATTCTAGATCTCTTTAAATTTGGTACATTGACAGTTTCATTAAATTTCTGATGAATAAGTTTGTATGTTTCAACCACAGTTGGTGAATTGAAAAGCAAAAATACAATGTTATTATATAACTAAAAGAAATAAGCATTTTGAACAAAGAAGAATAATAGGAAAACGGTACCCTACACAATTCAGTAGACCTCCACTTTCCTTTCTTTATGACCATGACACGATACCATTTTCCAGCAAGAGTCTTTCAGTAACATTCTTAGTAGAATATGTTTTCAACTATAGTTATAAATGAGGATCTAAGGAATCAGTAAATTATTTCCAACAATGTTATAAGAAAAGATATCACTACTAATTTTTTTCATGCGTGTATCTGAGTTTGATAGATAACCTCATCATTATTTCCGTTGTCCTTGGGTGCCCAATGTACTACCATATGAAGTTTGCATTTCTTGTTTGGCTCCAACTTCCTACTGTTGATGTAAGTTCATTTTTAATCTTCTCTTTGGAGTGTTTGTATCAATACATATGGAAGAAGGATTATAAGGACACTTGTCTGTCACAAAGTTCAGTTGGTTGTAATTGTTATTTTATCTCTCCCTCATGCATGTATTACTAGGTCTTTTCATGATTTTAATCCAATTTTGTTGAAATATCATCTGTTAAAGATGTTGATGGACACTTGGAAGAAAAGAATTGCATATTCATTTGGGTATGTATGGGTGCCTTATCTTATGTTTATAGTTGAATTTTGAGCTGTGTTCAGAATGCTTCGTAGCATTTCACAGCCAACTGTGTTTATGTGCATACTTATGAGATATGGACACGAGGGGAAAATTTTGTTGTAATTAACTACCTGCTTTCTTTTATAAAAAGAATAGTAAGTAATTTTGCCTTTTTTGCATCAGGGAGCGAAGCAGTTGTACACAAACCATCTACGCCCGTTCTTTTTGAAGCATCAAGCTATAATTGATCGAGTTTTGGTGCTCACATATAGCAAAGTGGTATTCCCTCTGTCTTTATATAGCATGGAGCAATATGAGTTTATTGAATGTTCCCTTGGTTAGCAGGACCCCTGAAATTGTTGGTTTGGATCAAAACAAATTGCTATGGAAGTGCTCTTTGTTGTTTACACTCTGTGGCTAAAATACTGAAATGTGCACTCATTGAGGTATTTTGGTTTCTATATCGCAGCACAAACTCCTTAGTGCACACAAAGCCGAGATTGAGTATGCTAGGGCTATGGTCATGAAGATGTTGGGTTCAGGTGAGAATGATTACTATCGACCACACAAGCTTGAAGTCAAATTCTCTTACTGAGGGATTATATACAATGGAACGATATATCATTAGGTTACTTAAACTCGCCAGTGAGCGGTAGGTCTCGGGTTCGAGACTTGGGAGCAGCCTCTCCATAAATGTGGGTAAGGCTAGCCGACATTCACCTCTCCCAGACCCTGCGTAAAGCGGGAGCCTTGTGCACTGGGTACGACCTTTTTTACAGTTGGTTGCCCTTTCTTGTTTTTAACAGACCAGCCGTCTAATTCAGATCTGCCACGGCATAATGCAATTGAAGGCCAGATTAGACCACCTAATCCAGATCTACCAGGGCAGAATGCGGTTGAAGACCAGACCAGATTAGACCAGTACCAGTTTCGGAGTCTGATCATGAGGATTAGTATTATTACTAAAAGGAGAATTGTTATTGCTTTTCGCATGTAGAGTTTTGAAACTCTTCTTTTTCCGGCGGAGGAAAGAGAGAGAAATACACCGCTTGAATTAGGTAGTCTAAATCTTTTGTTTGTCTTTTAATTAGTGAAATCTCTGAAGTAGCATAACAGATTACTAAGAAAAAAAAAGATAAACATATCCAAACTGTAGCTCTGTGACCTTAATGTAAAGAATAAGAGTGATGTTATTTAGACGCACCAAAATGGGTCATGCATACTAACAAACCATAAAACCGCAACACGAGTGAATTTCTTATACAACAGTACGTCCTACTTTTATTAACAAGTGAATGCAACCATCAGTTTTATGCGTCTAAGGGTGAGAACCGAAGAACTACTTGTATTAGAGTTTGCAGTCGGGATGGTTTGTAAGGTCCAAATAGAAGCACTCTTACAAGTAAAAAAAGAGTTGCAAAATATCTTGAAGAAAAATTTGGGCATAGGGGAGAGAACAAGGCATACGAGCTCGAGCCCAAGGCTTGTACTTGTATAGAAAGAGAGAAAATGGGGCATAAGAATCCGAAGCCACACATCGATTCAAAAACTCGAAACAGCAAATGGAAGTAAATCTACTATACACTCTTTTTCCAATGATACAACAATCTGCATGGCTCCCGGGGATCCAACTCATCAGCTACAAAGTTCACAAACAAACGTTACCGTTACAGAGAAAAGGGTTAAAAGTGTATAAATTAGTAAGGAAAACAATTTCTCTACGCTCAATCCGACGAAGGGTCATGGCTTCCCGAGCTCAATCCAACGAAGGGTCGCGGCTTCCCGAGCTCAATCAAATCTCTGTTACTACAAAGCGAGACTAATACTCCGTCTCAGCTGTTGCCCTCACCACCACCAGGCTGCTGCTCAAGGTTTGCTACTAAATCGGGTCCGCACACCCGTGTCAGTTCTTCCTGCATGGCAGCGAAAAAGACATACTTCATCAAAAGATGGACTGCACTCGTGCAACAGACTAGTGAAACTTTTCGCGCAACTTGGATTGCTTTTAACGCATCAAGCTAGGACTCTAATCAGCAAGGATTTTCTCCTGGAACCGGGTGTAATGGATGGCATACAAGTACAGAATGAACAAAATGCAAGCGTATGAAAACAAACCTTTATATTAGCATTCTCAGATGTCAGTTTCTCGCATTCCTCAGAAAGCCTATGCAGCTCTTCTCTGAGGCTATGATTCTCATTGCTCAAAGTCTCTACCCTTGCTTGTAGCTCTTCACACTCTGCCTGAAAAACATAAGAAACAGAGGAGCAATTTAGGCATATGAATTGTTTTTGTTCAGGTCTTAGCACATCATTCTTTAAAACGTATCATCCTCCTGTAGCACAGGAGGCATATCAAGAACGGCAGATAGAACACAAAATGCCTGCCAACAAGTGTGCAGAAGTACATCTGTACCTGCTTCCGTAATCTTGACCTCCTAGCTGACTCCCTATTTGATTGCTTTCTTTTCTGCCTTTTCAGTTCACGTTCATCCTGTCAAAATCATGAAAATCAAAAAAACCATTATGAGGAGCTAAAACTATTACAAAAGGGTTTTTTAGAAATGTATTCATGAGACTTGCACCCCTGCAAAATGTCAATGGAATCCAATTTAAAAATTGAATGAACAATAAAATTTTAGCGTAATAGTTTTACCAACAAAACCATAAAAGTAGCAAAAAAAATTTCATTCTTATACACACAAGCGTAATAGTCAGGTTTTCTCTTGGCAGAGACAATCTAGCATGTTAGTTTACTCGATTGTTTCATTGGTGCTTCCAGATTGGCAGTCCTGGACCAAACTAAAAACAGCCAACATAACATGCCAAAAGTCTAGACCAATACAGTTTTGCATGGATAATGAGTACAAAATAACAATTTAGAAGATAACAGAAAGATCCCTACTTGAATCCAATGCTCGGCACCACCAGCTGAAGGAGGACCTGATGGATTTCCTCTTACTTTTGCAGCTCCAGCTCCAGCACCAGCAGGGGATGCATTCCATAAATCCATTCCGATATTCAGATTAGTTCCAGGCATAGAGACTGGCTTCCCAGGCACTGAAGCCTGAACAAGTGTCCCGGTGCTATTTTGTGCATTTGCCCCTGAAAAAGACTAACTGTAAGAAAACCATTTTAGAAAATAGAACATAAGCAGACAGTAGAGTGAACACAATTAATATACCATCCGCAAGCATCTTGTCAAAGCTTCCCTTCTTGTTTGCACCATACTCCTAAAGAGCAATTAGGTATGTTTTCATCAGAAGAAAGAGAATGCATCTTAAGAATTTTGTTAGGTTTAAAAGTCTAAAGATGTTATCTATGTGCAGATGTTGGCAAGCATAAACTGGCCAACACTAGTTTTCTAGATGGGTTTTGAAAGATTCCAAAACTCTGTTAGCCATTTGAATTAGTTACAAAGATCACCTATAATTATTTAGCTGTAATGCACATACACACCTGATTGTTAGCATTATCATCGCTTCCATCCGATGAACCCTCGCTACCACTTTCACCACTATAAAGCGGAAAATTTACAGTCAAATAACAAGGCAGTGTCAGTAGAAAATGTTCTATGGAACAAATGTAAAAAGAAGAGAAAAATCTAAAAATTGTCAAAAGCAAGAATCCAAAGCAAAGATCAGCACACCTTTGTGAAGCACCATCATTTCCTGAACCTGAAGTTGCTTTTCCACTCTCCACAACCTTGCCACCAGCCAAACCTGCATTTCCTGCAGTTCCCTTGGGTTTTTTGGTTGAAGCCCGCTCTTTCCCGTCAGGACCCTTCCCTTCGAACTCTGGGGTTGGTTGTGGTGCGCCTGGGGTCTACAGAACAATTAAATAAAAGAAATCAGCTGATCAGGTTGAGATCTTCCTAAATAACAGAGTCCATTTTGTCTATGAAGATGACACGCATATGTATGCAAGAGGAATAGCATCATACCATCACCATACTGGGATGAGCATAAACTCCACCTGGAGGATACATGGCCGGATATGGAACTGGAGTTCCATATGGCGGCATCATAGGATGCTGAAAAATTGTAAACAACAAAATATAAAAACCACCTATTTCCAAAAAAAGAAGACACAAACAAAAAGCAACCGCTCCTAAGGAACATGTATGCTTGTATATCATTCAAAAGCAAAAGACATGTACCTGGGCTCCCCACATATAGGGGTGTGGAGTTGAGGAAGCAACAGTAGAGGCGAAAAAGGGAGGCGGAGTACCTCCAGGACCATAATAAGCCTAAACAAGAAAGTTTGCTGTAAGCTATTGTTTATCAGGATATGAATGATATCTATATGCTTGCTTCAAAAAAAAAAATTACATATTGATCCAGAATGTGTTTTCGTCATGAACCTGCATAGAGCTGGACCAATCGGGATATGAAGGTGTTGTTGGTAATTCCTGCACAATCATCAGAAACATAATAAAAACTCGAGCTGGAAAAGGAGTGAGGACGAGGACGGAGGATGGAAGGGAGGGGAAGTACCTGAGGTGTAGAAGCTTGTTTGGAAGGCTTAGAAGGAGTACCCTCTTCCCCTGTCCCCATGTTCTATTGGCTCAGCAAATACCCCTTTTAGTTCTAATTTTACCAGATCACGTTTAATTCTTCAAAATAATCTATGAAGAACCTGAAAGACACCAAATTAACAGTCCTCAGATTCACTAATCACATGCTTAAAATTTAGCAGCAACAAAATTACTAATTCAATTAATCAAAAACAAGATTACTCGCTCAATTGTTGAAGAATCACATTCAAATTCTCAAGTATTTACTATTCAAACACACAGATTTGAAACCCAAAGCTAAAAAATTTACCCGATAGTGGATTAAATTAAACCTACCCCTTATCCAAATTTAACTAATTTTCCTATATCCAAGCTCAAAATTCAAAATTTCAATTGCAATCAAAAGCTGACAGTAATAAATTGACTCATGCAAACAACACAGAATTCAAATAAAGCTGAGGTTTTTGGCACAAATTGTGGAATACAAACACGAAATCCAAAGGCAATTAACGATAAATCAGGCCAGGAGACGCGTGATGCGAGAGAATTATATAAGAAGAGAGAGAGAGGAGCTAGAGAGAGAGAGACCTGCTTTCATGGCGTTTAGAGAGAGTGAGGTGGAAGTCCAGGTGGAACTGCACTTTATTTAAGATCAACGGCTATGAAATTAGGAATCTAGGGTTTTGAATTTGGAATTTACACCCCAAAACTCTGAAAAGACAAGTGCAAGTGCGTCCAGAGAGAGAGAGAGAGAGAGAGAGAGGAGAGAGAGGGAGGCTCTGTGTGTGTCCGTTGGCTGCCGCCTCCTGGGCTTTCAGTTTGTCGTTGTTTAGTTGGGACGGTGAGTTTTGGTATGGGGGAGTGAGTGACTGGATATGTTGTGTGGGTGCGAGATCCAGTGTTGTGGAGGTGTACCGGAAGAGGAGGTTAGGGTTTGGCGGGGGAGACACGTGCGAGGAAGAGGCGTCCAGCTGTCCACGTTTCACTGGATTAGATCGTGACGATGCAGAAGCCACGATGACTCATCCTGACAACTACCTTTTTTATTATTTTTATCTTAATTATTATTTTATTTTGTTACTTATATTTTATTAATTTATCTTCGTCTTATCTCTAATCTCCTCTCCTTCCATCCGGTTTCTTCTAGTAACTCTCCTTGATTGGCGGCCACGTCAGCTTAAAATTGAAAATTATTTATTTATAGGTGAACAATACTACCGAATTAACTGCATTTCAGAGTGTAATTTTAAAAATAGATAATGAATTTTCATTTTTTTTATTTTGTACTATAAATGTTGTGTTGCAGGTTTATTTGACTGAACTATATGAGGAAGAGAGGCTGGTGACAAGAGAGAGAAAAGGGAGATTTAATAAATAAATTAGCTAATAGCAACTATGCATTGTAGCCGTTTTTGATGTTGTGAGGTATGTGTTGTATCACACCATTGTGCTTTTATTTATAATAGTACGATATGTTAAATCGTTACCTTAATAGGATACAACTCTAATAGGATAATAACTACTAACTGGAATATTCCAAGATATCCCTAGATACACTAGGATTTACACAATCATATTCTCATATTCTTATTATAAATATGACTGCAACACTCCTTATTGAGTGTGGAAAAACTCAAACAAAACATCGTATCAGATTTTCAACAGTTAAGGTAGAACAATTGAAGAGGTCGCATTTGGTGCGATGGCAAGTGCCTTCGCCCATGAGCGGTAGGTCTCGGGTTCGAGACTTGGGAGCAGCCTCTCCATAAATGGAGGTAAGGCTAGCCGACATTCACCTCTCCCAGACCCTGCGTAAAGCGGGAGCCTTGTGCACTGGGTACGACCTTTAAGGTAGAACAATTGATGAAGTTGTCGGCACAACGGGCAAATGCGAGTCTCTAATATAAAGAAAGTATGCATCGGTAGTAAAACTCACAAAACCTTGTTATGGTAAAACCTAAGGCAAATGAAAACTCATAGACTAAAGAGAAAAGTGAGAAGTATGCATAATGTCTAAAACAAACGTCAAACAGGACGAAAGTAGTGAACTCAACGAAGTATAATCATCCCAGGATGAGTGCCTCATTAAAACCTCGTTAAGTAGCAAAAACCCAGTAGGAAAAATGCTCCTAATCGTAGGAAAAAACAGTACATAAAAATCAAGTGAGTATGCTTCAGGATACTCCCCTGAGTTATACATAACTTCCAAATAAGAGAATTACAAGCAATTTAACTCAGATAATTTATGCATACCGATTCCTTGGACGAGCTTCTAAAAAGTAGACTTGGGCAATGACTTGGTAAAGAGATCGGTCAGGTTGTCCTGAGAACGGATTTGCTTGACTTCAATGTTCTGATGTTGTTGTTGCTGGTGAGAATAAAAGAACTTCGGCGTTATGTGCTTAGTGTTGTCTCCCTTGATGTATCCATTCTTTAACTGCTCGATACATGCTGCATTGTCTTCAAAGATCATCGTAGGAAGGTCAACAACGGTAGAAAGACCACTAGTGCTTCGAATATGTTCCATGACTGCTCTCAACTAAAAGTACTTACGTGATGCTTCATGCAGGGTGAAGATCTCAGCATGGTTCGAAGAAGTCACAACTAGCATTTGCTTGGTAGACCTCTAAGATATAATGGTGTCTCTAACGGTAGAGACATAGCAAGTTTGAGAACGTGCCATATGTGGGTCAGACAGATAATCAGCATCTGTGTAATCAACAAGGCAAGAATCAACCCGAGGACCAAGGGGGCGGCGACTCCTCTCAAGGATTTTTGGGTGTAGAACAAACTCAAATCCGTCGTACCCTTAAGGTAGCGAAAAATATCTTTAACACTATTCTAGTGTTTGTGTGTAGGTGCATTGCTGTATCTAGCCAAAAGATTAATAGCAAAAAAGATGTCAAGTCTAGTGCATTAAGCCAAGTACAATAAAGCACCAACTGCACGTAGGTATGGAACTTTAGGCTCTAAAATCCCTTCCTTATCCTCCTTGGGACATAAAGGATCTAGTTTAGCATCTAGAGTCCGAGCGACTATACGCGTGACCAATGATCCTTTGATCCACATCGGTAGCACATGTCCATTTCAGTGGAAACCGATTAAACGGTAGTTTTTCCCTTGTTCTTGAAGTTTGGGGCCTCATGTGCAAAAGGTTGGCACTTCTGGGTCAAATTTCCTCATTTTGGTAGCCTTTGGCTCTATTGACCTTGGGCTTATAGGTGGGCTTGCCGCCCATTACCACAGCCATGACTATTTTTCCGTAGTTTGTGGCTGCTATAAATGGTTGTATGCGCTTCAGGTGGAGCGTTCGAGCTAGTGGGTCGAGCTTGATGATTTCTCATCAAAAGCTGGTTCTGCTTTTCAGTGAGAAGTAAAACAAAGATTTAATCTAAAAATTTGGTGAACTTTTGTGCTCTATATTGTTACTACAAAACAATATTGGTGGCATGGAAGGTCGAATAGGTCTTATCCAGGAGATCTGCATCTGTTAAGTCCACTTTATAGAACTTAAGCAATGATCAGATTCTACAAACTTCAGAGTTGTACTCATTCACGGACTTAAAGTTTCGGAAGCGTAAATGCTGCCAATCGTGTCTTGCTTCAGGCAAGTAAATATCTTCTGGCGATTAAAACGATCATCCACAACAAGTCAGAGTGTGGGTGGGTCCTCCTCAGCGAGGTACTTGATTTGCAGTGCATCATGGATATGTCTTTGAATGAAGATTATTGCAGTAACTTTCTGAGCTTTATCAACGAGGTTGGCATCGGTAGGTTCCTTGATGGTGGCTCTAATACCTTTTACAGTAAGATGGAGTTTCACGTCTTAAACCCACTTTTGGCTGTTTCTTCCAGATACTTCCAGAGCAAAAAAATTGAGCTTGTTTAAGTTCGACATGTCCCTAAAATGGAAGGTACAATAAAATGTGGTTAGTCATATGGTAATCTATAGAAATACATCGTAGAACATTGGGGTTCTATATAAATGTATTGGTTTAATAATTAGCTTTCATGTGGTAAGTTTTGAATGAAAACCTCGGGTTTCAAAGGCACTAAATATGAAACTACAGGCTCAATTTAGTTTTATGAACAATTAGTTCATAAAGGAGAGGTTCCAGCAAGAACATAAAATGTAATATGCTGATTTAAGTGTAGTGGATTTGAGTTGCTTCGGGAACTCAAGTGTGAAAGCTTCGGGACTATGAAAGAATGTCAATGGTTCAAAGTAGAAAAATAAATTATTGAATCGTTAATGTCCAAAAGTGATCTTTAGGTCAATAATTTTGGATTAATTATTAGATTAATAGACTGCAGGTCACTTTTAATTAATTCAATAGATCGAGACCAAATGGGGTCGATCGTGGAAGCAAAATAATGACATATGAGTCATATTAGCTTTGGTTGGTGATAAACCAAGTGATAATTAAATTAGAATTAATTTGCGCAACACAAAGTACCCCAAAAAATATATTTGGGTATGAGTTATAATGTGGGTATGCCAAAAATTGGCATTGAATCAAAAGAAAGGACGCGGCCCAGCCAAAAACTAGGCTAGTAATGACACGAGAACAAGCCCTACAGTTCGGCTGCATGTCATTGGGCCTCGAGAGGGCTGCAGGCTTCTGGGCCGTATGGTCTGGGTGAGCCTGGTTTAGGCCAAAAATAAGGCACGGGTGCAAACCCAGCGTGTGCTAGCTTACAAGTTGGTGCGGGGAAGTCCAACCAAGGCTGGATTTCTGGTTTTTAGGCTGGGGTAGGTCAAGCCCAGCAGTGCAAATGTTGTTGGCACCAAGGCATAGGCGAAGCCCAGAAAGCAACAAGCTTGCTGCAGGTAGGCCTGTGCATAGGACAGAAGGTCCAACAACTCTGGGTTGCTGGTGTTATGCCAGGGATGCATAGGATAGGTCCAAGAAAGCTTTAGGCATTCTCGGGATGGGCTGGGGCTGCAAGCCCGTGAGTAGCCTCGACCTGGGTTGTCTTACGTGAGCAACAAAGCCTAAAGGGCTGTTACCGTGTGGTCCAAGACGTCAAACAACGATGTTCCCATTTTTCTCTATGCGGCTAGGCTACAGGCCAACTGCGATGGTCAACAATGATGCCTATGGCGGCGCAGCAGCAAGTCGCAGCCATGCCATATAATTCCCATTTTTTTCTGACTTTTCTAGGGTTTTAAGAACCTTAAATTGCTTCTAATTTATTTATATATCGGAAAGAAAATATAAATATAGGAGGTTCATGCATCATGGGTATGTTTTTATGCTTCGTGGACATTTTAAATATCTTATTTTATTTTAAGTGTACCTGATTAGCAGAAAACAAATAAAAACCTTTGAATTTTGTAGAAGAAAACCTCCTCTTACTCTCCTTACCTTAATAGGATTACAACTCTAATAGGATAATAACTACTAAAGGGAATATTCTAAGATATATCTATATACATTAAGATTTACACAATCACATTCATATTCTAAATATGACTGCCACATGTTAAAATTATTTCAATCCATGTTTTCGTATGAATTGATTTTTAGGAAAACTAATGAAAAGGGCTTGAAAACTTTGAGTTTTAATGATAAGGACAAAATAAAGGGTAAAGTGAATAGTACCAGAATTGACTTTTTAGTGTAAAAATGTGGTTTTTCGTTAAAGTGAACAGTACCGGGTGCTTTTCGTTAAAGTTCCCTTGATTTTTTTGTTAATTTATTAAATTGACAAAATTTAGAATCTCATGACCTATTTTGAAAATCACATCAAACTTGAAAAGTGTGAAATGTAGTAAGACCAAATACTTATGATGCACTTTCTCAATTTTATTTTCCTCTCTTTACTTGCCAAATTTTTTATTATTGCATGGTTTATTGGATAAATAAAAC